ACTTTGTACAAAAGAAGAAAGAGAACATATGAAAGAAAGGAACCAAAACTTCTGTGTAGTTACCTTCAGCAGGCTATGGGGACAGTCGAGGAATCATTCTCTAAGCAGTAATTCTCAAAAGGCCCCCCAAGACCCTTTTAGAAATTCCCAAGGTCATCCTTGTGTGAGCCCAGATTGTTCTTCGTATTCCTCAACCAGAACAACATCACACCAGATTGAATGCAGAAGCAAAGTATATGACACGAGCTGGCTGCTGCTAAACCAGATAGTCAAAAAGAATTGTAGGACTATTCTTCTCACTAAAGTTTTTTTGTTTTTGAAAATGTAGTTACTTTTCATTAAAAATGTGTGATTTGTGTTAGCATCTACTGGTTGCTGTTTTATTATTCAAATGAATTAGTAAATATTTTAACAGCTTCTCAGTTTAGTTTTAATATGATTATTTATCCACAGAAATAATACATAAGCTCCTTGGGGGTTCTTAGTAATTTTCTTTTTTTAAACATATTTTTTATTGATTTCAGAGAGGAAGGGAGAAGGAGAGAGAGATAAAAACATCAATGATGAGAGAGTATAATTGATCGGCTGCCTCTGCATGCCCCACACTGGGGATCAAGCCCACAACCCAGGTATGTGCCCTTGACTAGAATTGGACCCAGGACCCTTCAGTCTGCTGGCCAACGCTCTATCCACTGAGCCAAACTGGCTAGGGCCTCAGTAATTTTCAAGACTGAATGAGTACTGAGACCAAAAAGTTTGGGAACTGCTGCTCTAAGCTGAATGCAGGGTGTCCCAAAACTATTAGTGCAATTTTTAATAACAGAATGTGCACTTTAGGACACCCTACTGGAAACAGAAAAGAAGGGGCTTTCAAAGCCACATTTGCCTAAATTCTTTGAACTCTCTGTATCAGTCTCCAAGAAAGGAATTACAGGGTAGGATTCTGAATTAGTCCAGATAAGCCTGGGGTTAAATTGAGCTATGATTTCTTGTAATAACTGAAATTAGGGCAAGCTGCAAGGTGGGAGGGGGATTGGACTTAGAGTTAGGAAGTGTGTACTATAATGTTGTGTGTGACTCTTACCTGCACCTTTCTTAACTGCCTCCAAGTCTCCATCTTTAATGTTGGGTTGGACTAGTGGATTTCTAAAGCTGTTTCGATTTCTAAGATTCAGTATTTAGAGCTAAAAAGAATTTTTCTTTAATATGTGTTTAATTGTTTTAATACATAATTATAAACAAGAGGCTAATTAGTAATTATAATGCAAATCTCAGGCACCTTTAAGGTACACACCTTTTAAAAAAGACGGCAGTGTATCCTAAGGGGGGCAACAGATTTTTAAGTACTGAAATTGCAAAATCATTAAAATTATAAAGAAATAATTGATACATGTTTTAGAGGTCTATTTATTTAAACTAGTGTGGGAGAGAGGCTCAGTCAAGTGTTTGGGTTTGTCTTTATTCAAAGACCTTAGTGGATTATTATACATGAAGTTTGATATTTTGTTATAGTTTCTTTTTTGTTAATACCTGGATAGATGGGTTCGTCTTTTATTTCCCCAAACTAAGTTTTAAGATGAGAAATTAGCCAATAGTACATTTAATTGTTGAATAAATCTTTTTGGGTTGATATTGCCTTCAGAAACAAATTTAGAAAATCCATAGGCTAGGAAAGAACAGTTTGGTCAGAACTAAGGTTATATAATTCTCTGAATTATTTACAATAGTCTTCTCAGCCTTGTTTTATTTATAGCTTAGAAGAGAAAGAAACTTTGTAAAAAAATGTTTTGGAAATTAAAACACAAATTAACTGAGGATTAATAATGCACAACTTGTAAATAGATGACATTCAACTTTTTATCAAGTCATCTACCAACAACAGTGAGGTAAAACTAAATTTTAAAGACAACTTTTCAATTAATTTATTACTCTGTCCATCACAGAAATTGTGTTCTGGCTTTGAAAATTATGTTTGTATCATAACCAGCCTCTTAGTTTTCTGGCTTGTTCATTACATCACAGTTGTATGTGATTTATTTTGAACTGTAAAAGTAATATCAGTAAAGTAAGACAAAAACAAGTAGATACAACCTCCCCTTCACCCCCATCCTTTCACTCTTATCAGGATCTGCCTCCCACACATCTTCCATCAGTGGTTCTCAACTTTGGTTGAGCATTAAAAACATCTGGGGAGCTTTAAAAACTAACCAGTGTATCCCCAGATTCTAATGGTGTGTTATTGGGCAGTCTGGACCTTGAGAGGTTCAAGGCTGCCCAGGTGATTCTGATTTCCAGGTGAGGCTCAGTGCCATTATTCCCTGCCTTGTGAGAGAGTCTCACTTGCCGTACTCTGACCAGTGACCAGGACTCTTGTCCCAGGTCTTTCAGCCTTTTTACAGTTAGTCTTGGTTTTTCACAGAGTTTTTATTAATGCCCTTCAGTTTATTTGATTCCTTCCAAATGAAACAATACTGAAGATTCAAGGTGAAAGAACTGTTTAAAGCTAATATTTAACCAACCATTTGTTGTATTTCAAGTAAGTAGCCAATAAGAAATCTACCTGTAGAATACAGTGACTGAAATGTACAAAAATGTATGTAGCAAGTATGATTTGGTCTATATCTTTGCCCAAGAAGCAAGCAGCGAAAAGATTCTTCATGCCACCTTCTATTAAATCTACCACTGCCTATTGCTTTTGTTAATAAGACATCTTTATATCATTTTTGGAGGCGGGAAAGGGATTTGAGTTTATCAGTCTTGAAATTTTGCCATTATTGTCTACGGTGTCCTGAGATGAGGAGAATCATTTGTACCAATGGGAAAACTTAAATTCTAAGGCAATTGCCAAAGTGGTTGTGCTACTCCCAAACATCTTACAACCACAGGTATAGTATTTATTTGCTGAATCATGATTGGGAAATAGGAACTGATTCTTGGTAGGTAAATAAAGGGAAGAATTTAAATAGCAATGATGATATCTTTTGTACAAAGAGTGCAGCTGCTAAAATTATTAAAATATTAGTAATACAGATAGAATCTCAGCTAATACTGCCTCTTTTAGAGTTTACAGGGTATATTTTTACTTTCTTAATCAGTTATATTTCTTTGACCATTAATAAGAGAATTAATTACATATTCAGTGGGTTATTTAATGATTAAAAGCATTTTTTCTGGGAATCATAATAGTTTGGTTTTCAGTCTTTATTTAGTTGAAGTAAAGAATAAACAAGAATATTTTTCTTTTTATGTTCTAACAGGCACCAGAAGTAATCAGAATGCAAGACAAAAACCCTTATAGCTTTCAGTCAGATGTATATGCATTTGGGATTGTTCTGTATGAATTGATGACTGGACAGTTACCTTATTCAAACATCAACAACAGGGACCAGGTAAATATTTACCATCTCTTAGAGTTTATTTTACTATTTACATCAAGTTCCAATTCATTGTAGAAAAGAAGTGTTAAGTCCTGGATACATATGAGGGATAGACCTCTGGGTCCTTGTCACCAGCTTAGATACCTTTTGAATACTTTTGATAGTCATAGCAGCATGTAAGGCCTTTCCTTGAAATATTCTTTTTGTTTTTAAGTCAATACATTACAGAAAGAGACTTTTTAAAAATATGTTTTTATTGATTTCAGAGAGAGAGAGAGAGGGAGAGAAAAAGAGAGAGAAAAATTAATGACGAGAGAGAATTATCAGTTGGCTGCCTCCTGCACACCCCCTACTGGGGATCGAACCTGCAACTGGGGCATGTGTCCTGACCTGGAATCAAACCGTGACCTCCTGGTTCATGGATCAATGCTCAACCACTGAGCCACACCAGCTGGGCTTCATTCTTAATTAAGTGTAATGGAGTGAAATTCCTGATCTTCTGAAACTAGAGACACAACAATGACAGTACCTCATGTTTCTTGATCATGGCACAGTTAGGAACATGAGCTCTGCTACTACGACATCTGGGCTGTATACCTTTATTTCACTCTATCACAGAGTGTGCTACCTGAGCAGGTACTCAGCCATGAACTTCTTTATATCAAATTCTTAAAATTATTAAGGTTTCTCCATTTTGTTTAATTTTTAAAACTAGGTAAATGGAAGAACTGTGACATCATGCTTTCATTTTTCTATAATGAGAATTCTAGTAGGAGGGAATATTTTTACTTCCTCTCTTCCTAAGCACCTGTTCTCTGTCCCTTACCTTCCCAAATGTACTAATGTAGCCGTATGCAACTCTTTGCCTTTTCTAGCCCAGTAATATTAAATTTACCTAGGCTTTTAACACTGGCCAAGAAAAGGAATTGTCTTTACTGAAATTACCTTGTATACCTCAACATTTTAAAAGTAAGTTTGTGTGTATTTGTGTGAGAGAGAGAGAGAGAGAGAGAGAGAGAGAGAGGGAGAGATTGCAGCACACTGTTAATATATTACAAAACAATAGTTGACATATAAACTGTGATTAAATGATATTCATACATGCCCTAGCCGATTTGGCTCAGTACCAGTTAAAGGGGCACGTAACTTGGTTGCAGGTTCCTCCCTGACCTGCACCCTGGTCAGGGCTCATGCAGGAGGCAACCAGTCAATGTGTTTCTCTCACATCGATGTTTCTCTCTGTTTTCCCCTCTCTCTTCCACTCTTCCTAAAAATCAATGGAAAAATATTCTTGGGTAGGGATTAACAACAACAAAAGAGAATACTATTTATACTTTATACTGTGGTTTGTATCAGAATCACCTGAGTAATTTGTTTTAAAAAGTGGAGATGCTGGAGCAGATTCTGATTCAATGGGATGGGGTCCAAGCACCTGCATTTGTAATAAGTTTCCCAGGGAACTCTGATACAGACCAAAGTCAAGAATCACCAATCTAAAGAGTTTTTAAAAAGTGCAGATATTTTATGCATTTCATCATAACCTCCCAACCTAGTGAAATGATAGTTTTATACACAAACTAGAGGCCTGATGCACAAAATGCGTGCAAGAGTAGGCCTTCCTTCCCCTCGCTGCCGGCAGGCACCTGGGACCCAGGCTTCCCTCCCAGCCCCAGCTTCATCCGGAAGGTCATCTGGAAGGCCGTCAAGTCTAATTAGCATATTATGCTTTTATTATTATAGGTGTGTTACTTCATCAAATAGTGTGTGTTTTAGTCAAGAGCTCAACTACCAATTTTTGGTGATAGCTCTGAGTAGCTCTCTCACTAAGAACTTCCACTATCAATGTGATGTCATAAAAGTAATCTAAGTTATCATGTACTTGGTATGTGCTCATTGACTCTTTATTGTCTCTGTTGGAGTGTGTTCCTTATATAAACTGAATTATAAAATCTTCTAGGAGAATGTTCCCAAATGCTTGTAGCCTTAGGCAGTTTCCCAACTCATTAAGGGCACTCCTTCCAGTTCTTGCTACACTTCTTGAAGGAGACTGGCTCCAGAATTTAGAGAATAAAGGAAAGTAGAGGTCTAAGGTGAGAAGGTGCCCAGAGCCGCTGGACCTCTTGGACAGTGGGTAGGTATGGACTTCCTTTATCTAAACCCACACTTTTCCATTGGCCAGTCCCTACACTATACCGCATTGTCTTCATTACAATGGGTTTGTAATAAATACTGCTCCCTGGCAGTGTCGGTCCGTTAGACAGGACAAGGGTCTCAAGGTCTAGGCCAGTGGTTCTCAACCTTCTGCTGCGACCCTTTAATACAGTTCCTCACCTTATGTTGGACCCAACCATAAAATTATTTTTGTTGCTACTTCATAACTGTAATGTTGCTACTGTTATGAATCATAATGTAAATATCTGATGCAGGATGGTCTTAGGCGACCCCTGTGAAAGGGTCGTTTGACTGCCAAAGGGGTCGCGACCCACAGGTTGAGAACCACTGAGTTAGAGGCTTGTGGAATTTGCCAGTCTAAAACTAAGTTAAGTATTTGATAAAGAAAATGGAGGTAAAAGAACCATATATTACCCTGGCTAGTGTGGCTCAGTTGCTTGAAGCATTGTCCCATCCACTGAAGGGTTTCGGGTTCAATTCAGGGCACATACCCAGGTTGTGGTTCAATCCCTGGTTGGGGTGCATAAGGGGGCGACCAAACGATGTTTCTCTCTCCCTCTTGCCCGCTCCCTCTCTCTATAAAACCAATAAAATAAAATAAAAATGCAAAAACTGTTAAAAAGAAAAAAAGGAGTGATAGTCTTCCCATTACCATTCTTCATTATCATCTAATCTGCTTTCTTCCAATGGCACTTTTCTCTGAAACTCCCTCTGAGTTACTAACTCTCTAGTCATCCTCAATAAAGTGTAACCACAGTCATTGCTCACACCATCCCTTTGATTGATTTTCTTTCCTTCTCTTACACTTTGATCTCCATGGCTCTCAGATTGACTTCTGCTTGATAATCTAGGAATATTGTTCTTTTTCATGGAAGATGAGAAAGTTGCTTCTTTACTATATAACAGAAACGATTCCTCCATGCTCTCACCCCTATAGTCAGAGGTGGCAGTTTTAATGGCAGTAAATTCAAGGCAGGACTCTGGTAAAGTAGCAGGCCTGGATTCACAACCTGCATAACCTGATCACATTACCTCTCTAGGTGTATGTTTTGTGTGTGGATCTGTATGTTTGTTTTCCAATTATAAAAATAAGAAATTTGACTAAAGAATTCCTTCCAGTAATAAAAATCAGGATCTTTCCTAAAACAGATCTCTTAGCTCCTTAAGGGATGACCAGCCCTATGTTACTTTGCAGGGTAGCATGTCTTTTACTTTAGTTACCCTAGTGCGGAAATCTAAGAAATTACTTTGTCATTTTTTTTCTCTGTATGATTCCAGTTTGTTCTCTTATTACTGTATCCTTCCCTCTTTCAGTACAGCTTCTCTACTAAGTTGAGATTTACTAGTATAATGTGCTCATTAGCTAGATATATTAACTGTCTACCTTCAGGGCTTTCTCTTCTTGGAGCAGAAGTGCCATGTCATCTTAGAAGAAAGTAACATTACATTTAGCCCTGACCGGTTTGGCTCAGCGGATAGAGCGTCAGCCTGCAGACTGAAGGGTCCTAGGTTCGATTCTAGTCAAGGGCATGTACCTTGGTTGCGGGCACATCCCCAGTAGGGGGTGTGCAGGCGGCAGCTGATCGATGTTTCTCTCTCATCAATGTTTCTAACTCTATATCTGTCCTCCTTCCTCTCTGTAAAAAATCAAATATATTTAAAAAAATAACATTACATTTATCTGTTATTTCAGTGTATTCCAGTTATTATTGCTGTATAACAAAGCACCCAAAACATAGTGGCTTAAGCAACTTAATGCATCTGCAGTTTGGGCTGCTCTCAGTGAGGAAGGTTTATCTGTTTCACATGGTATTATCTGGGGTAGATTCAAGCAGAAAGAATCTGCTTCCAAAGTGGCCCATTCACAAACCTGACAAGGGGGCACTAGCTGTCAGGTGGAAGCCTAGCCAGAGTTCTCAGTTATTCTCCACCTGGATCTTTATGTAAGCATTTTTTCATGGGAAACTTGGACATTCTCATAGCATGGTGGCTAGGTACTAAGCGCAAGATCTCAAGAGACAGGAAATGATAAGTACCATTGTCTTATCAACACACAAATTATTTCAATAAAAATTTTTTTGATACTATATGCAAAGCACTGTGGGATATAGAGGGATACAGAGATGAATAAAACAGGCTGCGCACTCAGTGGAGTTTACCGTTCTGTTGAGGCAGTGCAGGTGGGTGATACTGACAATAAACAGATGTATACAGAGGAGTAAATGAAGAGGTGGAGATGCCAGGAGTGCTGAGTGTGGATTGAGAATGAAAATAACCAGTCCCAGGATTTCAAACCAAGCCATGATTTAGTAGTGTATGTGCCACTTGAATCTTCTATCCATGAATTACATACAAGAAAGACTCTTAAGTTTAAATAATTGCAAAGAATGTAATTGCCAGTGTATTATATTAACATTTCAAAAAAAAGCCATTATAGCCTTCTTTTAAAAGTGCCCAATAAAATCTAAAAGCCATGCTGATTTGATGCCTGCCTAACTTGTTTAAAAAAATACAAAAACTCTGCATTAATTTTTGGAAGTTTTACATGGCGTTTTTTTTCCTCTTTGAACTACTTGTATTACTGTTTAAATTTAGAATTTAAAAAATATTCCTATGATTTTTATCAGCTCTGAATGATATTTTTTAATTGTGACTTATTCCATTATTAATAACTATTAATGTATACATGATGAAAATACGTTTTTATTATTTAAGAAACATTGAAGGTAAAATTTTATTGGAAATGTGTATCTTAATGAACAACATGAGGCTTTTTTAAATTTATTTATGTATCTGTGGATAAATATGACTTTTGCTAGAATGAGCTGGACTTAGCATCAGTCCTTTTCCTTGTTTTATTTTTAAAGAAATAAGCACTGAGAAATATTGTTCAAATAAGTAAGAAGCTAAGAAAATCAGGAGTTTCATTATAATGTATGCAGAGTTCAGTGGTCCCCAAGACCACCTTCAGGTTCCGTAATTCATTAAGTCTCACAGAACTCACTGAAAGTTGTTCATTGTCACAGGTAGTTTATTGCAAGAAAAGGAAACAAATTAAAATCCATCCAGGGAAAGTGCATATAGGGCAGCATTAGGAGAATTCCACGTGTGGAGGTTCCAGTTGTCCTCTCCCAATGGGATTGTGGACAACGCTACTCCTGGCAGCAATGTGTGACAACACACATGAAATATTGCCAACCAGAGAAACTCACTCGAGCCTTGGGATTCAGAATTGTTATTAGGGCTCAGTCAAGTAGATATGCTTGACCTCTGCTGTGGCCGACCATAGCTTTCAGAGGGCAAGTTGATACCACATGAGTCTAAGCCCCCTCTGTGAATCACATTCATAGCATAGACTATCTGACATCTCCCAGGGCCCCAGGTAAACAAAGACACTCTTATCAGGCACAAGAGGCTAAGGATTACCTCCCACGAGCCAAAGGCAAAGGCCAGCCCTCTACGTGGGCAAGATTATTCTTTACCATACACCATACCACTCAGTTATTTGAATTCATGTCTTGAACATACCAAAAATTACATAATAATTTGTCATTAATAGTTACTTTAATAATCAGCTGACAATTTAATTTTACTGAAAGCAAAGAATTGCAAACCAACTGCCTTGTAAAGGGAATGTTACCCATTCATTGGAGCACAGTTAGACATTAGTATTTGGAAGTGTCCCTTTGGTACCCCAGCAGTTTTACACCCTGGAGTGCTGTGCACATAGTGAAATTCTGTACTGGTAAAAGGTAACTTGTAAAGTGGGAGAAGATTAAGCTTTATACTTTCATTTTAGTGGTGTTTAGCCAAATCAGCTTATAGTTAACAAGGGTTATTACATCACCAAACAGGAAATAACATAAAGCAGGATATCAGACTTGACTTTCTTAAAATTATCAGCTCTGCCCTATAACAAAGCTCTCTCTACCTTAGACTCTAGTCTGCCCCTGTTAGACCAGTTCCTCTAAGAGTAAAACCCCTCTTTCCTCCCTAAGTCACAAGACTCCTAACATCTGTCTCTGTCCACCTTGAAAAGAGCCGAAAATTAAGAAATTAGAAAAATTACAAATCTCTGCACCCAAAGAAGACAAATCTTTTTACTTTTTAAACAGAACTTTAGTTCTTTCTGGAGGAGTCTCTGATTCTCAGATTTATATAACTATAAATGCCCCATTAGCGTTTCCTCACCAAAAGAGTTTAAAATGCTGATGTAAAAACTAAAAAGTTAACTTTGTTGGTTCCTGCTACATATATATAAAGGGCTTAGTATGATGCCCAATAAATTATTTAAGTAGAAAAGAGGCACAATCTGGTCTGTGTTTTAGAATGATGATCTACCAGTGGAAAATAGATTGTAAAAGGCAACTGGAGCGTGGGAGCAATTAGCGGATCTTAACAGTAGTCCAGGAGTCATGAAGATTTCAGTTTGCAGCCCATGAAGTATTGGTTCCCAGTTATATGTAGGCATAAGGGTGTTAGCATTATGTTATTAAGTTTTTTATTGAAGTATAATGTGCATACAGAAAAATACACATCTTAAGTGCATAGCTTGTTGAATTTTCAATCTTTATGCCTTTTTCAACTAATTACAAGTTTTATGATTTACCTATTTTTTTTTCCCAGATAATTTTTATGGTGGGACGAGGATATCTATCTCCAGATCTCAGTAAGGTACGAAGTAACTGTCCAAAAGCCATGAAGAGATTAATGGCAGAATGCCTAAAAAAGAAAAGAGATGAGAGACCACTACCAAGTAAAAAAACTTTGTTACCTAAAAGAACATGCTAATATTCAAATGCAGATTTTTTAAGCACTTTTTAGAGCACACAGTTTGTATTTCATGGGTTTGGATCCCATGTGATTATGTGCAGACGCCAAATAAGTAAACACAGAGATGATTTCATAAAGGTTGAACAGCGGCACACCTAAAAACTTGGGAACCTAGTTCACACTATTCAGAAAGACTTGATTTTTGTCTAACCATTCTCAAATGTTTTGGTCTCACAACCCTTTTACACACTTTAAAATTATTAAAGACCCCCCCACCCCCCGCCCAAAGAGCTTTTCTATATGGTAATTATAATTTTAAAATTTAAAACTATGTTTTCAACTAAGTTTTTAAAATACTTATAAATTTATTTAAACATAATAAAAACTGTTACAGGTTAAATAATGTTTTTATGAAAAGTAATTATGTTTTCCCAAACCAAAAAAATAAATAAATAATAACATTGTTTTACATTTTTTGCAAATCTGAAAAAAAAAAGACAGCTGGATTTTTTGGTTTGCATTCACTATGATGCAATATCTTATATATCATGTAGCCTCTGAAAACTCCACTTAACACGGGTAAAATAATGACAGTGCCTGGCTGATATCACTCAGGGTTTAGCACGCCGGTCCGCACAACAAAGGGTCATGGATTCAATTCCCAGTCAAGGGGCATGTACCTGGATTACAGATTCAATCTCTGGACTATACAGGAGGCACCCAGTCGATGAGTCTCTCACATTGATGTTTCCTCCTCCCCCTCTCTCTTTCTCTCGTTCTCTTTCTCCTTTTCTTCTCCCCTTCCTCCCCCCGCCTCCACTCTCTCTGAAAATCAATGAGAAAAATATCCTCAGGTGAGGATTAATTAAAAAAAAAAACAATAACAGTAACAGAGGCAAATAATATCTTAGTTTATGATGAAAATCGTTTTTCCACAGACCACACTTTGAGAATTGCTCCTTTAATTTTTTTGATGGTAAAATAATCAGATTCCAAACTTCCCTTTAGTACTAGGCCTTTTTGAGGGGCATTTCCACCTGGGGCTAAAGGAAATGGCAGCTGTCAGCACTGGCTGCCTTTCTCTGATTTTTGGAAATTTTCCATTGCTTTTTACCTGTTTATGCTGTAAGGCTAAAACCCTTAAGTTAATGATCTTTCAATAAGCCTCACAAACTGGAACTAATTACCTGAATAAGCTTAGAAAGTTAGTTATAGTAGATATTGTAACATAGCATCCCACTGGCAGTGTTTTATGATGCTTAAGGAAGTTCCTGGCAACACTGTATAAATGTGTCTCAATCAATCAAAATACAGTTTTCAAATAGAAGTACTGATTCCCACAGTTACTCAGCTACCATAATTACCGAGGTGGTCCTTTTTAAACCTATGCTTTTGAATACCCAGCCCTAACTGAGTTTCTTAGACAAAGGCCACTGTTACAGGAATGAGTGAATCTTTTATCCCCATCTCAAGAATTAAAGATGGAATTTATAGTTTTATCAAATCTCTCAGGGGCCGTCTCAGAGCAGGGAGGGGATGCTAACTAGTTGGCTGGATAGATACATGTTTTACAAATTGGAATTCTAAATTACTCTTCTTTTGAGGAAGAGGTGTGTGTGTGTGTGTGTGTGTGTGTGTTTACCCAGAAAATCACTGCTTTAAGAATATCAAAGTAAAGTCCATATTATTGGCCAGTGTCAGCAGGACCCCACACCATCTTCTTTTCACATCCCAGGTGCTAGAGTTTGTTATTTAACACGGTTGATATATGTTCATAATGCAAATTATATACTTAGGCCCACTTTTTTAAAAAGTATTTAAAGTATGAAGATGTCTGTATTCCTAAATATAAATAACATTTCATTCTTTTCATGGTATCAAAAAATGAAATGCATACATGAATTTTCCAGATTATTGAAGCCTCTTTTAAGTACTATTTTTTAGTTTTCATTAGAGGATCTCTTTTCACACTATACACAAACATAAATTTCAAGTAGCTAAAGATTTACATGTTAAAAACAAAACTATAAAAAAATGAAATCATTTTTATAACCTTGAGGTAGTAGGAAAGGCTTTCCTAAATAAGAGACAAAATCTAGAAGTTATAAAGGAGAAGATTAGCAGGTATGACTCCATTAAAAGATTTTAAACTTTTATACAGTAAAAATAATATTGAAAGATAAACAGAGAGAAAAATAATTATAACATGTATAACAAAGGTTAAATATTTATAATATACAAAAGACTCCTTCAGCCTTACCTAATAGACAAACATGTAAATTGACCATACCTTTGCTAACCAACCAATCAGGAGAGTATGCAAATTAACCCAACAAAGATGGTGGTTAATTTGCATACATAGGCTCCAAGCAGCCTAGCGAAGCCTGACGGCCCCGGGGTGGAGCAGTGAAACCTGACAGCTCCAGGGCCAGCTCCAGCCGGAGCCCGGCCAGAGTGAAGGTCTGGGTCCCGGGTGCCAGAGGCAAACCAGTGCCAGCAGCCAAGGGAAGGGGAGGCCTATTGCACGAATCTCTTCGTGCAACAGGCCCCTAGTCAATAAATAAAAGATAATCAATAGAAAATAAGCAGAGGATATGAACTGACAATTCACAAAAGAAATACAAATGGTAAATGAACTTAGGACTATAAGAGTTCAGTGATAGTAGTTAAAATGCAGAGTAATACAATAGTGAAATCTGTTTTTTATTTTTGCCCTTAATTGGCAATAGCCAGCATGGGGCACAGTGTTGGGAAAGGGGAAGAGCCTCCCTTTTAAGTTTAACAGTGTTAGTGCACGTAAATTGGTTAGGACTTTTGAAAGGACTTGGTAAAATCTATAAGCTTAAATTACATATACCCTTTGCTTTGATAATTCCACTCGTAAAAACCTGTACTACAGAACCTGCTTCCACAAGTATTCAGATATGTACAAGAATGTTTGTGCAGTGTTAAAGGGAAAATTAAAGACATAAAGGTCGCCGTAACCGGTTTGGCTCAGTGGATAGAGCGTCGGCCTACGGACTGAAAGGTCCCAGGTTCGATTCCAATCAAGGGCATGTACCTGGGTGCGGGGCACATCCCCAGTAGGGGGCGTGCAAGAGGCAGCTGAATCGATGTTTCTCTCTCATCGATGTTTCTAACTCTCTATCCCTCTACCTTCCTCTCTATAAAAAATCAATAAAACATCTACACTAATAAAAGAGAAACATGGTAATTGGCGTACCACCGCTACCCTTCCCATTGGCTAAGCAGAGAGATATGCAAATTAACTGTCAGCCAAGATGGCCACCGGCAGCCAGGCAGCTTGAAACTAACATGAGGCTTGCTTGCCTCAGTGACGGAGGACTGCAACATTCCCGCCTGCCTTGCCGGCCTCTGAGCCTGCAGTTTCAAACATTGTAACAAATATAGAGCTAAACAAAACCCCAGAAACCAGCTTTCAGGGAGCTGGGATCTCAGAGCTGGAGTTAATACAGAGTTTCGATCTAAGAGCTGGAGCCTCAGAGCTAAAGCTGGCCCAGAATAAAAAAAGAAGAAAAAAAGAAGCAGTTGGGAGCTTCAGTCCCAGCCTGAAAACATCCCTTAGCCCCTCACCCAGACTGGCCAGGCACTCCAGTGGGGACTCCCACCCTGAAGAGTGTGTGACCAGCTGCAAACAGCCATCATTCCCTCATCCAGGCTGGCCAGGCACCCCAGTGGGGACCCCCACCCTGATCCAGGACACCCTTCAGGGCAAACCAGCCAGCCCCCACCCATGCACTGGGCCTCTAGTCTATATAGTAAAAGGGTAATATGCCTCCCAGCACTGGGATCAGTGGAGCTGAGAGGCCTCCCAGCACCGGGATCAGTGTGACAGGGGGCAGCGCCCAAACCCCCTGATCACCCTGCGGCTCTGTGTGTGACAGGGTGCAGCGCCCCAACCCCCTCACCCCACGGGCCCTGCTCTGTGTGTGACGGGGTAGAGCCATAACCTCCCCATCAGCCCTGCCCTGAGTGTGACAGTGGTGGCGCCCCAACCCCCTGATCGGCCCTGCTCTGTGCGTGACAGGGGGCGGTGCGCCAACTCCCCTATCAGTCCTACTCTGTGACTGACGGGGGAGCTCCTCAACCCCCTGATGGGCCCTGCTCTGTGCATGACAGGGGGCAGCGCCCCAACTCCCAAATCGGCCCTGCTCTGAGCCCGACCAGGGGCTGCACCTAGGGATTGGGCCTGCCCTCTGCCACCCGGGAGCAGCCCTAAGCCAGCAGGTCGTTATCTCCCGAGGGGTCCCAGACTGCGAGAGGGCACAGGCCGGGCTGAGGGACTCCCCTCCCCACCGAGTGCACAAATTTTTGTGCACCGGGCCTCTAGTATATATATTTAAAAAAAAAGACATAAAGGTCAAGGTAGGCTCTGCAGATGGCATGCATATCAATAAGGGAACAAGCAACACAGAAAAATGTGTGACACCACTTTAAATGCTGATGAGTGTGAGGGTGGGCTCTGTTTACATATGTGCATGTTTATGCATAAGAAAGGTCCTGAAGAAAGTATAGACTCTTTAACAGTGGTTACCCGTGGAAGATAAAATTTATACTTTCCATATTATTTGAATTTTTATTTGTGTGATATGCTTATAATTTTTTTATATATTTTTATTGATTTCAGAGAAAAATGGAGAGGGAGAAAGATAGAAACATCAATGATGAGAAAGAATCATTGATTGGCTGCCTCCTACATGCCCTTTGCAGGCCGACGCTCTGAGCCAAACAAGCCAGGAAGATATGCTTGTAATTTAAAAAAAAATAAATTAGGCCGAAACCGGTTTGGCTCAGTGGATAGAGCATCGGCCTGCCGACTGAAAGGTCCCAGGTTCGATTCTGGTCAAGGGCATGTACCTTGGTTGTGGGCACATCCCTAGTGGGAGATGTGCAGGAGGCAGCTGATAGATGTTTCTCTCTCATCGATGTTTCTAACTATCTCTCTTCCTTCCTCTCTGTAAAAAATCAATAAAATGTATATATTAAAATAAATAAATAAATTATAACATTGCTATTTCTTTACCTTTATGCTAACTATTATACAGATTATAGTTTAATTTTAAATAGTTAGGCCTAGTCTGTGTGGCTCAGTGGTTGAGCGTCAACCTATGAACCAGGAGGTTAAAGGTTTGATTCCCTGTCAGGGCACATGCCCGGGTTGCAGGCTCAATCCCCAGTAGGGGGCGTGGAGGAGGCAGCTGATCAATGATTCTCTCTCATCATTGATGTTTCTATCTCTCTCTTCTCCTCTGAAATCAATAAAAATATATTTTTTAAGATTTTTGGTAGCTCAGAAAATAACAATAGTAATAATAATAGCTGCTAAAGTTTTATTGAGTACTTATTATATACCAGGCATTGTACTAAGCCCTTTATATATGTCTCATGTTTATGTACATACATTACCACACTGTATGCCTTGAAAAGTCATTACTTGTTTCTTTTGTTTCTTTATACCTTAAAATATGTTGAATGTCTATGTAAGATTTTAGATGTTTTCCTGTAAAGTGTGATGAGGGTCTTGAAGATTAATACCACCTAGATTTTCATTCTTCTTTCTTTCTTTTTCTTTCTTTTTTTTTTTTTTAGATTCTCGCCTCTATTGAGCTGTTGGCCCGCTCATTGCCAAAAATTCACCGCAGTGCATCAGAACCCTCCTTGAATCGGGCTGGCTTCCAAACAGAGGATTTTAGTCTATATGCTTGTGCTTCTCCAAAAACACCCATCCAGGCAGGGGGATATGGTGCGTTTCCTGTCCACTGAAACAAATTAATGTGTGAGAGGGTGTAGGTGGGTAGGCACAAAGGAAAATGAACATAAGTGTGCTTATATATTTGTTAAATTGAATACAGTTTTTTTAAGGTAAGCCAAAGAACACTTACGTGTTTAAAAACTGGATGTAATTTTTCCCCCATCTAAAATTCACACTTAGCATTGGGTTTTCAATTTGCAAGGGTTTAAAATGCAGACATTGCTAAAAACGTGCAAAGCCTTTTCCAGATGTTTTATTTCCTATTCCAAGTTTGTTTTGTTTACTTGGTTATTCTAATTATTAAACTTCAATTGAACTTTTCCCATGCACATTTTGTCATTAGCTACTGCCCATCTGTTAGGGTTTCCCGAGAACAGCAGCACTGCTGGGCACATGTGTGCAGGTGGGAGGCTGACAGTAGGTTAGCCTGTGTCAGGTTAGGCAGACCAGACAGATCGCATTCAGGCAGTCACTAAAAATTCATGTTTGTTTTTATTCTTAATATTTTTTCTGTAACTATTTCTTTTTCTTACAAGTTGAAAAGTGTGAATGTCCTTTATTCCCTTAAAGCAATATACTAAATCAAATTTCTTTTTATAAATTATGGGTGCAGGTAACTATAGCTGTTGCTTAGGAGTGGCATGCTTAACATGAGTAACGTGGTTTAACTTTGCATCTTTAGTGGGGAAATGTTATAAGTTGGAGTTCTCTATAGATATTTCTTTATATATTAAGGATATCTTACATAGAAGCCTAATTTCCTTACAAATGCACTGCCTCCTCCTCCCCGCAAAAGCTTCACAGAATCCTGTGAAAACTCTTAGGTTTGTTTTTCTTTTAGATACCTTTGTTTGCCAAACACCTGATAATGGATTTTTTTTAATTGTTACTTTAAATTATCTTGCCTCCTGTGGTCCCTGTGTTAGCAGTCACCATACCCATGGGTCTCACAAACTTCTTGCGCTCCTTATATTCTTTGCCCACCAGTTCTACTTATTATGAAAGAATGCCATTCTCTTTGTGTGTGTTGCATGGTACCAAGTATTTGTTAGCGCTTTCTCATGCTTACACTGTCTTGTGTAGACAATAACTGTAATGTGGCCGTCAGTATATTCTCACCGTGAACCATAATCTTACTGGGAAGCAGCACTGCTGTCCTCTTATCAAAGAAATTGACATCTCTGCTTCAGAGTCAGCCTAGGGACCAATACCAGCCTCCTCAATACACCTTTATTCAAATTGAATTTGTACTGATTTTTTTTAAATATTTTTTAAAATATATTTCTTTATTGAATTCAGAGAGGAAGGGTGAGGGAGAGAGAGATAGAAACATCAATGATGAGAGAGAATCATTGATCTGCTGCTTCCTGCATACTCCCT